ACCCAGGCCATTCTATGATTCTATGATGTGAAGACATGATTTCTCATTCCATAATTGTCAGGGTTCTGAAGCAGAAATGAAATAATATCCTGACACTATCAGAAACAACTGATTTGGTAGGAATATTTCCATTAAATACTAACAGAAGTGACTCCATCATATTTTCACCCCAAAAGCAAATAATTCTAAAACAATAATATTTTCTTTCTCACTTCTCCCAGCCTCTGGATACACAAGATTATTGCAAGCAATTTGGGCAGAGCTTAAGTATACATTTAGAAGCTGAAAAAAGCTATTTGCAGATATTCAGTTGTCCCATGCTCTGTTAGGCATAGCCCATCTTGTAGTTTCATAATAAACCTGTCTTACCATGGATTTTATTAACAAGGGTGAGCAAGCAAACATATATACACATCGGGATGAGGCAGTTTATAAAACTTTTGATCAGCAATAACTAGAACAGTGAAGGAAAGCTCACTGTTAAGACAGAAACAACCTATCCATTTACAAAACCATAAAAAATATACAGTAGGTTATAAGTATTTCTAAGGAACTACTTTGTATTATTTTTTCTTGCATTCATAAAATCTAAGGAGGTCATATTTTGCTTTTTATTTAACCATGCCATCAGTAAGTGCCTATTCTGGTTCTAGGCCTTGCTTACATGAGGTCATGTATAGAGGGCAGTGAAGCTGTAGTGGAGTACAGACATGGCAAGTTAACCATAAAAAAAACATGGTATAAGCTTTATAGAGCTTAACAAGTAATGTCTGTAAGAAGTATATGTTTTTGCATAATAAAAGCATCAGATTTTTATTGCCCTTCTTTTCTTCTCTTCATCCAAGCATACTTCTTACAGGTGCTACTTGCACATCTTCAGCATTTATTAGGTATTCTGAACTCCAGCAAGAACTTGAAAACAAATGCAGCTTATAGTCTACCCTCAAGATACATGACTAAGGAGTTGTGGGCTTTCTGTCACAAGGATGGGAAAGCTGAGATGTTGCGTAGCCTTTCCATTTCCCATTCTGTATGCAACTATGCTGACTTTGTTATAAAAATACAGACTGCCTTTAGCTTTCTTCCCAGAATGAATTCCACTAATGATTAATCATTTAAAATGTTCCCGCCTCCAAACCCAGCTCCGACCCAAGATTCTCACAAGCGCATGAGATCTCTTTTCCTAATACCTGTTAAACTCTTTCTAGCCAAACTGGTTCATCTGAGACAAATGCAGTAGATTTTCTCCTTTTGGTCTGGTAGGTCAGATAACAAAGAGTTGGAAGCAGAATCTGAGTTTAAATCCATATATGATGACATACTGAGAAGGTTCTGTAGTTCAAGGACTTTTTAAAGTCCTTTTACAGTAATTTACTCATTTATTGCCACCCCAATACTAACTTTGTTTGCATTTCCCAGAAGTGATCAATACTTTATTGCCTGCTCTTTCACGATGAAGGCCATGGAGGATCAAGTAGTCCAAGAAGAACCAGGATACCAGGATGATGAGGTAAATTTATGGTTGATTGAAAAATATGTGCAGCAAATGTTGTTTGGAGGTATTTTGATAGTGGTATGAAATCCACAGAGAGATAGGAGGTCCCCAAAGACAATCAGGGAGTTCAATGAATTTAAAATTTTGTTCCAGTCTAATACCAAGAAAATCTCATTCTCCTAGTCCATGTATAGGCTTGCTCTTCAAGTCCTCTTCATTAACCTTTCAAAAGCTATGCACAGTTTTTAATGGGATTCTCATTATTTATTTATATTTTACACTTCTATATTAAATGCAAGGAGACTATCGGTTAATTTTATGCTTCCAAGGAATGGACATCAGCCTGAAAAGACTGAGGAACTGTGGCAGAAAAAATCAAGATGATGATCATAACACAAGTTTATTAGCACAGCAGAGGATTGCTTGCCTGTCGTTGTAGTTTTACCCTGTCTGGCAGCAAAACTCAACACTGCTTGCTCGCCCTCCCCCATCTCCCCTCCCGAGAATGGGGGAGAAAATTAAAGGGGTGAAGGGAAAACAGACTTGTAGGTTGAGATAAGAACAACTTAATAACTAAACTACAATAATATTGGGAATAATAAGAATGATGATAATAGTAATATATACAAATACACAGATGAGTGATACACAGAGATACTGCTCACCACCCAATGACCAAAGCTCAGCCTGTTCGTGGCTAACAATCCTGGAGCAGGGAGAGTCCTGAAACTGCAATCCTGGAACGGAGATAAGAAACTGAGTGTCCAAGAGATCGAGACAACCCTTAGAGAGGGGCGATACAGGGGGACACAACCCGAGGCAAGAGAGAGCACTTCCAGACAGAGCCTCATCTATATACTGGGCATGACATCCATGATATAGAATAGGCTATTGGGCAGTTTGGGTCTCCATCCTAAACCTAAGGTCAAGCCCTTGGCTAGTAATTGGAGCTGCGCTCCCTCCCAGCTTCTCCTGCACCTGCAGACACTGGCACAGCAGAGAAGCTGCAAAGTCCTTGACTGTCCTGGCAGCAACTAGAAACATCAGTATGTTATCAGCTGTCTCCTCGGCACAAGTCCAAAACACAGCCTCACACTAGCTACTGTGAAGAAAGCTAACTCTGTCTCAGCTGAAATCAGGAAACCTGTGAAGACACACTTTATGAAGGTGATAGGAAATGTGTTGGCCTTCTTGGCTTACTATGGCTTTGCTTATTTGGGTAGTCCCCCAAGTTATGTATTATTAGGGAAAGTAATTTAAATGTTTAAAAATTTGAAACAGACGCATAGTGAGATAGATGTAATTACAAGAAAAAGCAAAATCTGTTTTTATTTTTTTCTGCTATTTTTTTTAGGAATCCTTTTTTCAGGATATTGACCTGCTACAGAAGCATGGAATTGTAAGTATTAGCAGTGACTTTACTGCACAGAATTGACCATGTAAAGCTATTGTAAGGTTATTTCCAAAAATGTATACACATTGATACAAATAACTGAAATTCCTCCTTGCAGGAAATTCTAAATCAGTCATGTGAAGCCCAATTTTGCCTTTGGCGCTAAGACAGGTTTTCAGAAAATCTCATTCCCATCAGATTCCTAAATAAAGTGTCAAGATATTCGAAGTATTTAGCACCCAGCACTCTTGAAAAACCAACTACTTGCTAATTTATTTGAAAACTGTGTGATAGATTGCTTCCTGTTCCTGCCAATCTTTGTAATTACTCCTGCATTTTTGGTGCCTGTGAAATTACACTGTGACAATTGTTGCTACACTATTTTCAGCATGCTGGTGAAGGGGGTAGAATAGGAGTGAGGAAAATATTAGTAGCTGGAGAAATCAGTGGTTAGTTTTCTTCATCAAATATGAATTGCTATAATCGTTATCATCATTATCATATAAACATTACCTGTTTATTTTAATTACTATTACTCTATGTTTATCCAGGAGACTGGCTCATGGGTCAGAACCCTAACACATTCAGTGTTACAGAAGCAGAATAAAAAGTTGGGCTTGCCCAAAGTAATGTAAGATTTAACTCTTAATATAAATGACTACAGATAGATACAGATGAGGAGGGCACAGAGACAATGAGACAGCATTAGTCAGCACTTTAGTTACTGGGCTCAGCAGGTCAGCAGTGTAATTGTTGTCAACTTTTTTTATTGGCAATTCATTGACAGTTCTAAAGAGAGTTCTGAAGATGCGTCATAAGGTTGGGAGCTCTAAATGTGGAGAAACACAGGAAAAATACACAAATTCCTGTGTTAAAAATTTAACAAGTTGACCAAAGAGGTTGACCTCATGAGCTGGAGGGGAGCTGTCCTAGCCTGTCACTATTAAATGAGGTATGGGATGCAGAGAATGATATTAAGGTATGAAAGATCTTAAAGAATAATGACTTAAGCTATTCTTCTGCTTAATAAGGGTTTCCTGCTCCTTTTCTTTTTTATCTTTTCTTCCTTCCAAGTGATTATTCCCACACCCCAAGGAAAGTTTCTGTTCTCAGCTGTGCCAGTTAAAATCTTTGTGTGAACATATGATGACCCATATCTGCTAAATTAATTTGCTTAAAGAAATGTTTTTTGTGGGTTTGGAATTTTTTTCCTAGTAGTAGAGAGAGAAATATTTACTAGATTTGACAGTGTGGCCACAAGGAGAGTCAGATTAGCACAATCAAGGCTGTGGTTTAATGTTCAAAAGTGTTCAGTAGGAATTAAGGTGCTGTGACCCCACAGCCTTTGCTGAGGGTTCCTGCCCCTAGAGCATGCTATTCCTTCTTCTGGTACATCTTGCTTTTGTAGCCACCCTATGAACTGGGTTTGTGAATCAATTAGTCCATAAATTACCACAATAAAAAAATGTGGTTTAGGTTTGGGTTTGGTTTTTTTTTTTTTTTTTTGTAAATTCTCAGTCTGCTCCCTTTTCCACCTCAGAGGCATACAACTGGGACAGCTGGTGTAAGGGGGCAGGCATGTCAGTATGTCAAGCCAGGAGTACTGCTGAACACTTCATAGTATTATTGAACTCTAGTCTGAAGTGGCAGATATCCTAGGACTGTGGTTGGTGAAAGATGTATCTGTGCTGGAGAGAGCAAGAACTTCTACAACTAAGTCTGCCACACAGAGACTCGTAATGTAGAACAGCCTTGAGTTTGATGTGATCAGAAAGACAGAGCCACTGAAGAAATGCAGAAGCACGGTAATGCATTTCAAGTTTTGGTCTAGAAAAATTATCTTTGCAGCAGTAGTCTGTTGTCTTAATAGAAGAACACAATAAAACAGCTCAATTCTTTTTATATTATTTATATTTTTTTGACAAAAAGCATATCACAGGATGAGAAATAAGCTTCCAAATGAACATGACTAATTTCTCGCATAACCCCCCTCCCTTCTTATGTCCTATGCACCCACATGCTTTAGATGAATAGATGATACATCCAGTTAATTGGGGTTTTTTCAAGGAAAAAACTTGGCTGGAAATGGTAAATTGAAGTATTATTCCAAAACTTTCACATGGTATTTTTTCTTGTGAGTAATCTGTTGCTTGCCTTTAGGCTTACAGTGATGTCAGGATCATAAAATAAGGCAAGAGGAGGCAAAATGGGCCTCAGGAGTAGGGCCCCGACTAAAGTCATGCTGTACCAAATTTACGAAAAACTAGTAAGTTCATTCCAGCCCAAAGTGTTGGTTGGATCTGGAGGATATGTGTGTTTTAAACTGGACACATTGTGAACTTGCAGAAATAGCACAGCAGTTACAGTCAGCTCCCAATTATCCACTATCAGATTATCTGGTTTACAGATTGTGCTAAGGGACCAAGGACAGATTGAGTGTTATAGGGTTTACTAGGCTGGGCTCCGCACTATCTGAAATAATCCGTACTGTTCCCTGGATCTAGAGAGACTGGCACTGAACAGGGACATGTGAGTAAAACTGGACCCAAGACACCTTTCTCTCAAAAACACCAGGATGTTTCTGCACCACAATCCTTCACATCAATGTTGCTCAAAATCTGCAGTTGTTGGTGTCATAACAAAAAGTACTGTAAATCTATTTATTTCTTGGTGAAAATACACATCCATATGAATGTATAATAAAATGTGTTTCAAAGATTTACTTCGCCTTCTAGTTGCTGTCACAAGTACTCATAGAAGGGAACTTTCTTCACAGAACGTAGCAGATATTAAAAAACTGAAGTCAGTTGGGATCTGCACAATCAAAGGAATCCAGATGACCACAAGACGGGCACTGTGCAATGTAAAAGGGCTTTCAGAGGCCAAAGTGGACAAGATTAAAGAAGCTGCAAACAAGCTTATTGTAAGCAAATCACTTTCCTGGTAGTTTAAATTTATGCTGGCCTCTCCAAAATGCAGTGCAACATTTCTCTTAATTAATTTTTTCACCACATCATCAAGACAATTTTGAAAATTATTCTGCTCGTTACTCTAAAGGAGTAATACTTTATAGTCTACAACAACCAGACAAATGCTGTGATGCTTTTCATACCCAACCTATGTAAATGAGGCTAGGGTGGAGAAAAGATATTTAGGTGGGATATCACACTTTACCTTCAGGTTAAAGCTAAAATACACCTCTTGTGTTCTCTTTGGTTTTCCTTAGGAACCAGGCTTCCTGACCGCCTTTGAGTACAGTGAAAAACGGAAGATGGTATTTCATATAAGTACTGGTAGCCAGGAATTTGAGTAAGCTTATCTCTACTTCAATCCTTCCTTAGTACAAATTGTTCCAATAATAATATTTATTGTCTTTAATGAGACACAAAAATATAAAGTAAAAAATATTCACCTAGGACACATAGGTTACCTTGCATTTGGAGCTAATGCAGCTCATAGATGCCAGTAAGCAACAAAACCAACTCCTTTTTGTAGGGGAAACTGGATGTTGCACAGTCGTTGTAAATAAACAGTTTGCATCCAGGAGTCCTGAATGTATCATCATTTTTTCACCTAAGCAAAACAGCCTGCAGGTCTCAGGTCAAAATTACAAGTCTTCAAGACCTCCCTTGAGATATTTTTATGGAATGTTATCTTTACCAAGGTGTTTTCTCTCTTCTTTCTTTGCAGTAATAATTTCTATAGATCTTTCTCTTGCACACACAGAAAGGAAGGTTGTGACAGAGTTAATTCTGTAGGAATCAGTGATCATTTAGTGCCCCACACTTAATGTGTCAAGTTAGAGGCTTTAGGGCAGAAATAACTTCTTGTAAAGTATAAAAAAAAATATCTTTTTTACTTTCCTCTTGTGATTTTGTGGGTGTAACTATATCAGAATCTTCTCTTTCTCCAGTAAACTTCTGGGTGGTGGGATTGAAAGCATGGCAATCACTGAGGCCTTTGGAGGTGAGCAAACCACATTGAATGAGTTCTGAACACAGAACTACAACTCAGTTTAGATCTTAAATTAAGCTGGATTACTTCTATCAAACTTACCATATTGTCATCATAAAGATGAGTACGTGCATGAGTGTAAGAAGAAAGAATCCACTTCTCTTAGTGTTTTCCCATTTTTGCTTGCAGACTAAGTTTGAACTCAGTAATCACTAGACTTGGGGCATGCCGATTCAGTACAACACAGTATTATTAATACTATTACAAATTTGTCAAATAGGAAAGATTTCCCTGATGCAATCTGTGTTCCTTTTCAGTGACAAAACTGCCACAAAAGATATTTTATTTACGCACACTTAGGATGCATTGCATTTCATATAAAATTTTGAAATTATAATTAAGCTGCCATTATAGTAAATTTGATCAGTTAGTAGTTAACGCTTCAACCACAGTAAGAGTTCATAAAATACAGTACTCTTCCCTTTAGAAAAGACAAAATGGAGACTGACATGATTTGATATAATGAGATTAATAAACTCATAAGCTTCTCCTTGATCATTTTACTGAAAATGAAACTGGGCCAGGTCAGTCGAATCAAACATTTCTTCCCCTCCCCCCCTCAAGTTAACACTTTTCCATAGGTGCCATGTGGTTTTAACTTCTACACAGAAAAGAATAAATTACCTTAGCAGTCAAGCATGATCAAATTAAAGCATTTCAGATTTTACTTTTCAAGTAACACATTTTCACTGCACAGAATATGATTTATAAATTGGGGTTAAATTATTTTAAAAGGTAGAGATAGAGGTGAATTTTTTAAGTTAGAGTGTTTCTAACTGCAGTAACTCCTGAATCTGGCAAACACAGAAAAAAGAAACCCTGACTTTTTTTTTTTCTTCTTTATTTAACAGAGTTCCGGACAGGCAAAACCCAGCTATCTCACACCCTTTGTGGTAGGGGTACTACCTTAAAACAGCTGTTTCTTCTCAGTGAATCCATTCTTTACAACTGTATCAGTATTCAATACATAGAGAGAAGTCAGAATTTTTTATCTCTAGGAATACAGTGAAACTGACCTTGGTGACTCTTGCCTCCATTAATTGTGTTTGAGCAGAGAACTCATAGAAATTATTACTTTTTAATACTGCTCACATTAACATAAGTTTTGCCATAAGGAGAGAGAAGATCATAGACTGTCCTAGAAAAAACAGTGAAACACACCACCTGGAAAAGCAGAGCACTAATATGGGTGGACAGGGGCTTTGCTCAGAAAAGGGCAAAGGCAAGATTCTTTCTCAGCAATTCTTTTAATTTCCTGGTTTCAAGAGGTTTTGCAGAATATAACACTCTGGAAGGGCACTGAAAGGATACTACTGGCTGACAGGAACTGAATAAACAAAGACTTTGGCAGTCACCACATTTGGGCAGTGCCAAATCCAGCAGGACTGATTTCACAGTGATATCTCTCAATGTGGAAATAGCAGTAAATAATAACTAATGCTGCTGGAATATAGTTACCAGACACTGGATAGGCAAACATTCCCTTAAGTGAAGCCTATATTATAAAGGGAATTTTGGCACCTTCTAGGAAAATAAGGCTTCTTCTGTTTAGTACAGTCTCATGTTCAGCAGAGTCATACCCGTTTGCATGAATGATTACAACTGAATGGAGTATTTTAGCTTATTCACTGCCAAGAGACTGAACCCACAATCAGTAACTATTGGCATATCAGGAAATACTGATATATAAAGAATTTTTATCATATGAGTTACAGCTGAGAGAAAAACCCTACTAAATCAATACCATTAATTTGGGCAGAGGATTTAGAGGATGCTTTGTGTATAAGAACTTATTAATAATATCCTCACCTATTTCCAATATAAATGATACAGATTTAGTGATGGTACTGAGTAAAACACAATTTTGCCACCATTAATTACATCTTGTCTGATCTCCAATGGAGAAAAGTGGCTTGAGTTTCTTCTCAAGCTGGCAGTAAGACTTGAGATACTCATGATTTCCACATTGATTAAAACTGGTGGTTCTTTGTGATATGGATAAGCAAGCATGCTTTATTAAAAAAAATAATAGAGGGAGTAGGAAAATATTTTTCCAGCTTTTTCATTTTGAACTTCTATCATTCACTGTAGTGACAGCTCAGCTTCCAGGACCAAATGGCTACACAGGTGGAAAGATTATCTTCATTGACACTGAAAACACTTTGTATCTTTTGAACCGTTGAAAGCTACAGGTAGGATGAACTGGAAAGACAGTTCATTTTGTTATAAGTAAGCAGGAGGCTCCAGATAGCTTCGTACATGTAAAACATTATGACTGACACAGAAAGCCTGGAGAGCACAGAGTGCAGTGGCCCACAAGGCAGTGACTTTTTTTCTCTGTCATTTGATGTAATCCAACCTGGAAAAATTAGTTAGGATACAGATTTTAACTTTTTTTAATTTTTTTTTTTTTTTTAATTCTGATATGCATTCTTGGCATATCTTCTTCTGCAGGTGATAGAAGCTTTTCTATTTACTTCAGGAGAAATTCATCTAAGTACTAAACACTATTTTTAACACTTCGTATCTGTTGTAGACTGTGTATAAATAGGCTTTGCTCACAGATAAATTCTTAGAGCACAGATATTCATATAACCTCACCCTCACCTCAAACCCTAAAAACAATGATCATCACGAGCCCTCAACTATCTTTAGGGTATGTGGGACAGTGCAAAGAGAAAAAGTCTTCTCTAGGATCAAAATAAATAATCTTCTTTGTTTTTCCATAGTTCTGTTTTGCAATTGAGTTTTATTATTTTCAGAGCGTGGCTTGTACAAGGAGAAATCCTTAACTTTGACTAATGTCAGCCGACCAGACCGTCTTCGTGACATTGCTGATCGTTTCAGTGTTGACCACGATGCAGTACTTGACAACGTGCTGTACGCACGTGCATATACTAGTAAGACCATTATTGCAACTGGCATGGTATCTATGTTTTTTCTCTAAGGCTCCTATTTTAATAGTTCTCAGTTTATTAACTGAGATTGCCCATTGAGGGTCATAAAGAATGTTTCGTTGCTAAGAAAAGAAGTTACAAGCTTGCTTCCATTTTCTGTTTCTGGTGTTGTACACTGAGCAGACTTGCTCAGCAGAAGTATTCCAGCCCAGCTGCACTACATAAACCTTTGCAGTCTGCCGCAACATTAAGTGAACTCTGCCATGTATATGAGGAATGTCAGCATAGCATCTTAGTAAGAGAAGCACCAAGTAACGTAACCATGATTGCCTGAATGTAAGCTGTAGTCTATAAATGCTGTTGAGAAATTCTCTATGATATGAAACTTTAAGGGACAGCTGCAACACACTCTGTCACAAGACATTACATTAAAACTTCAAGGAAGTTTTATGTGGGACTTTGAGAGTACAATTTTAAAATTAATAATATGATTAATACAATTCCTGTGTGTCATTTAATTCAATATTAAATTAAAATGTTTTTATTGCTTTTCAGTTCTTAACACAACAAAAAAAGTTGTCTTCATACATCATTTTCTTGTGAAGAATTTTACAATGAAGTTTTGTTAGCTAGGCAAGTGGACACTGGAACCTGCAGAAGCACAGGCACTGTGGGTTACTATAAAGGTAGCTTGTTATTGGGCACTGGATTTAAAACTGCTGACAGTGAAAATAGAAACAGTGCAGGCATTTAAAGTGGAATTTTAAACTTCAGGCTTTTGTTGCTTCATTGTTCCTTCTGGTCCTAATTTCATTTGGCAACTGTACTTCCCACCAGGTGAACATCAGATGGAATTGCTTGACTATGTAGCAGCCAAGTTCCATGAGGAGGCTGGTATCTTCAAGCTATTGGTACAGACTAATTTTTTGTATGCTTACTGCTTTCAGAATATTTTTCCTATTTTCTTTCACTATATTTACTTATCTAGCATAATTACAATGCAGATCATTGACTCCATAATGGCACTTTTCCGTGTGGATTTCAGTGGTCGTGGAGAGTTGGCTGAACGACAGCAGAAACTCGCTCAGATGCTGTCAAGGCTCCAAAAAATATCAGAAGGTAAGGGAAACATTGCAAAATTTGGAAAACATGGACTGGAGTTACTGAAACAGTAGTTGTTGGTAGCACAACCACCTAGTAGTCCCAGTGTATTATCAATCAGGCACTGACCCAGGAATCTTTCCTCACTTTACAGCTCTGTCAGTTACCAAAAAGATCAAACTGATAATATATTATTTCAGGATGACAGATTAAGGAGTCTTTAGAACTATTCAACATTTAGTGTTTTCCTACAAATACTTAAGTCCTAAATGAGAGAATAGGTTGTAGAACTGGACAAATGTTCAATAAGAGAAATTGTCAGCCCCGAATTTTGACAGTCTAAATATGAGAGAAACATGAAGAACAGAAAAAAAGGATGGAAGGCACAGAGAAATAAAAAAGCTGTGCCCGTTGCCATGTTCCCAGTACTCTGCAAATGCTCTGAGGGAAGATGACATGATGAATAGGCTTCCTCCTCTTTGGAATGTCTCAGAAATGTTGATGAGGAATGAGTAAATGTTTTTGGATGCAGTTTAAAAAAAAAAAAAAAAAGAAGAAAAGAGTACAGACAAAGGAAGGGAGGAGGCTGAGGGCAGGGAGCCAACAGAGAAGGTGGGAACTGAGAAAGACTTGTTCAGTGGAACTCTGAGAAGTGCTCATTTTTGGCATAAGTAGTACAGCTGATGTCATGCAAGAGCAAGTTTAGGCTGGCTCCTGATTTACTCCTGCCATCAGACATAAAGAACATTTGCTTCTCCTTCACCTGAATTTTGAAGTACTTCAGCAGCAGCCTTGCTTTCAGCATAGTTGAGATAATATTTTGGCACTCTGGATATAGTCCACCTTCTTTGCATTGTTTTCTATTGCAGAATATAATGTAGCCGTGTTTGTGACCAACCAAATGACTGCCGATCCTGGAGCAACCATGACGTAAGATACTTTTTCTCTTTTTTTAAAAAAATATATTCTCTTTTGTATTACATATTTAACAGAGATGAGAAATGAGATTGTATGGAGCACGAGGCACCAAAATGAAGGTTCAGATTGGTCACTGGTCCTCCTGGTATGATGAATCATTCATGGATGACACCTGCAGGTTTCTCTCAGTTTTCATAATGAGTTGTTTTATGTTAATCTGTTGCCTGCTGTGACGGCTTCTTTCACTGTGACTTGAGCAAAGAGAACAAATTATAAAAAGCATTGAAAAAGCACTACATTTTGTTTTGGAGCAGCTTATATATGAAGTTTAAGGTGTGTATTTCTTGAGCCTCTTGAATACAATGAGAGGAAAATTATGCCAGCACTGACCATTTGAACATCCTGTCTTGAGGCAAGTATATTAAAGTCCTTTTTTGATATATTTACCTATTTATTATTCATTACTGAGTTCAATTTGCCTTGTCTGGTAGTTAATCACAGTCTTAGCCCATGGAATTTCCACAGTGAATCATCACAATTTTCTTGCTAATTTAGCTTTCAGGCAGACCCAAAAAAGCCCATTGGGGGCCACATCCTTGCTCATGCTTCGACTACCAGGATTAGCTTGAGGAAAGGGAGAGGGGAGCTGCGTATTGCAAAGATATATGACAGGTAAATCACTTTTCCTTCCCAGGAAGGAAGCTGTATTATGAGCAACCGTAAGGTGACAAAGTTCACGGTAGTGAAACTTAATAGCCTGACAGCCAATTCACGGTTTCAAACTAATCACATTTCTGCATGGTAAGTTGAGAGAAACTCTGAAAGGACAAACTAATTAACAGACTTAAAGCTGTCTTCCTTATAAAATACATTAAATTACATAATATTTCATAATAAATCCTACTAGATTCTCATCTGTTAAAGACAACCATCAAACAGTTTGGTAAGACTGGTGGTCCCTTCGCAGGAAGATTCCAGAGCTGTTAAATTACTAAGTTTTGTTGACACAATTAGTATCAGTTTACCTGGTATACTGTGGGAGATGCAAGTCATTAAAAATCATAGTAGGGGAACTGCACAGAGAGACTACTGTTTCTCATCAGGAACAAAGAAACTGAAATGAGAATTTGCAGACAGAATCTTTCCCTTTCCTGTATCTTCTCCATTCCCCTCCCTTGCATTTGTCATCTCCCAAGAGGTGGACTTCACATTTTCTGACCTTGATAATATCAATCATGTTCTACAGTTTGCATACAGGTATAAAGATGGTGAAGTATTGCCAGTTGCTTACACTTACAACATTGTCGGGACTGTTTCACAACTGCATTTAACATGGGGAAACCCACATATTCCTTGTTTCTTTTTTATCCCCAGCCCTGAGATGCCTGAAAATGAAGCCACATTTGCAATAACTGCTGGAGGGATTGGGGATGCCAAAGAATAGGCAAAAAACTGATGTAAATGTACACCTGAAAACCACCTGGGCAGTTGAGATGAAGATTTGTGCAAGGTTGCTGACTGCCTGGCTGCATTTTTATCTTTTGGGAACCATTTAAGATATTTTTGGAGAACAGTGGCATGAACTCTGTACAGTTCAGTTTTACTGATCTTAATATAATTTCCTTCATTTAGAGTCTTCATTTTTCTATTGAACTTTCAGCAAAGATTTAAGAAATAAGCTTGTGAATTGTTCAAAGAATCCTTTTCCTATATTTTGTGAAAATCAAAGCTGTCCTTTCACATTAGATTAATATACTCTTTTTTAGTTTCTCTGAAAGAGGGTGCCCATGTGGAAGAATTTAATAGTGCAAAATGGAACAGAATTGGAATAAATTCAGTTATAAAATTGACATAAATAGATGGAAAAGGCAGTGGCATGAGGAACAGCCCAAGAACTTGATGAACTCTCATGTACCATGAAGAACAAGTTACTTTAAAAATACGTTTTTAGGCATTTTCATCTTGACTAGATAATTTTTGTGCTTTTACTTATAATTTTCTACTTTTTGGAGAGAATGTTTTAAAACTGTTCTTATTAAAGTTAAAAAGAGATATTATGAATTAGAAGGCACTCTGCTTATGTTTGGGTGCTTTGAATCAAACCCTGCTCTCAATAACCTCACTGATCTTTCATGAGATAAATAAACCAGATTTGACCCAACATTTTAAAACCTTTTGTCTAGTTCTCTAAAGAAACATACTTTATACAATTGCCTTGTCAGTCTCCTAATATAATAATATTAAAGATTAATATTAAATAGTATTAAATATTATTACTAAAAAGCTGAAGAAAACAAAACCAGTGGCTAGATAGGAGAGGGAGGCTCACACTGGGACTTACACCAAGGGAAAGGCACTTATGACTCATCTTGCTGAGGGAGCGTGCCCACAGGCCAAAGCCTGACACTGTAGCTACCATTTACCTTGTGACAAAGCTAGAGTCTGCCTTCCTGGAGTGGTTTCCACACATCTTTGACATTTTTCCTGAGGTAAACCACTATTTTTCACAGCGACGAGAAGTCTAGAGAGACAAAGGCATGGAGGTTGGCTGATCTGAGGGAGCCAGGAATGGGTCAGCCCTTATTAATTAAATCTAGTTCTTTCCATGTGCCAGTCTTTCCCACACCAACCATTCCTATCGAATAGCCAAGTACCATGTGTCAGAGAGAGCTTAAAGTGTTACTTGACTCCCTCCCACCCACTTAAAAAGGACCAAGTTTCTTCCAATGTTTTATTTTAAGCACCAAGACTCCTTTTTGCTTTCTCATGTATGCCATACATACACAGAGCAAGTGAAACTGAAATAGTAAACAGTTTGTGTCTCCTTCCAGGCTGCTTGTTTGTTTCAACAGTATGAAAGTCAAGGGGACTCATTTTCTCTTCTGCCAGTGTAACTCAGCTTTTATAATCTGATAGACCAGAAGGCACTGCTCATAGCACAGCTGTGGTTTGGGCCAAGGCTTGGCTTTGCTGGTGTACACACATCACCCATCAGACAAGGCTTCTTGTGCCAGGACAGACTGTCCGGCTACTTGTCAGCAGGCGCTGTAAGCATAACCACAGCACAAAATAACTTGTGGCCTATTCCACATAATTGCCTCACAGGTTATTTTATGTCTTAGCCAGGAGCCAGCCTCTGGTTGATTTGGGGAGTCCATCGCTAGCAGGCCATACATATGGTGTCTGTGTCACGCCCTTCGACTACTCCAAAACATTTCTTCCATGGCTTGCAATAATGCCGCACTGGGCAAAGGAGCAGCTTTGTTATTAGTCTACTTTCTGGA